CTGCCGTTGTAGAGAAGAAGAATCGACCAAAAAGAAAGGCAGCTGTTCAAGGAGAACTTGTACGAAAACTGTCAAAACAAACGTAAAAACATTAGGAATCAGAACAAACGTAAAAACATTAGGAAAATGTTCATCGGTTCATATTTAGTTTAAGTTAGTCATTTGATCATGTTTAATGATCAACCCGGGGACTGTGACAGATTACGCAACATTACTTTAAATTTATTTGTTATCGTAATACTTCATGTAATAATATTAGAAATATATAAAGTTTCAAACAACGGAACCTGTTAAACGTGGTCTTCTTTACTGGTAGCAACAAAATAGTTAAACACGTCCTTTTGACTAATTTCTTTATAGATGAGAATCGAAAACATGAAAAGAGAAATAAAAACAAGAGAGGAATTACAAAACCTGATCTGATACAAAGGCAACGCTTGCTAAAAGAGTACCAAATGACAAAGTACCTTCCGCAGGAGAGGAAGAAAGAACTGGCAAGAGAATTAAATCTGTCGCAAGTTACCGTCAAAGTAAGTTCTCAACCTTAACATATCTCAATGCATTTAAATCTAGAAGAATAACCGACAAAAAGTAAAGAAACTTATACTCTGCATGCATGGATCTATGATTTATTTCCGAAGTGGCTATAGGTGCGGCAATTTCCGAGGGATATTAAAGGATATTTTTAGGATATTATTATAGGGTTTAATTATTTTAGGGTTACGGTTATATTTGTAGATCAAATCAGCCGGACCTATATAGCAACGGCCATTTAATTTCCCAGCGGTTAAATATATCATCTTTTGTATTTTCTCTTTACAGAATTGGTTTCAAAATCGGCGAAGGAGAGAAGCACTTCTTAAAAGAAATAAAACGGTCAATAAAATGCGGCGAATGAGCATACGCAAGAACGATGATGGTGTACCTTGCCTCGTTCCGAGAAATGTTGACATTAAAATATCTGAAGTACTGAAATCGGAAACTAGACAGCTGAACTATCAAAACAATTTGTCCGGTTTTGTTGTCACTCAAGATGAAAATGGTATTTGTTTATTGCATGAACTATAATCGTGTAGAGATAGAATACTCTAAAATGTGTAAATTAGTTATATATATTTTGTAAATAACGTAATATTCATTATGATAATACAGGGTGTATCAAAAAAAGTAAGACAATTTTGAAATTGCTCTAAATTTCACAATTCTGTTCATGAAATGTAATTTTTTATATGTATGGATTGCTTGAGTTCTTAAATTATGGAAAATATAAAAAAAAATGAAAATAGTAAATTTTGCTATCCAGGGGGGTGGTCAACTTTTGCTCTCCTAAAAGTGGCTTGCGCACGGAAATGACAAACAGTAAACGAATATCCAGATGTGCGATGCCTTCACGTATTCGCACGTGAAGGGCATCGTACATGCATCTGGATATTCTTTAGTGAACTTTGGCGAACCAAGTTTATGTTGTTGCTACGGAGGAACTCTGATACCATAAAAGCTCTCTGCTGCGGAGTAAATTGTGGCATCGCCATTTCAAAGAGTACGGGGTATTATATGAGAGAATGCGTTTCCGCACAAACAACTCGAAAGCACAAATTCCATGGAAATTCCACGGAACTCTCAAGGGAGTAAAAATGAATTCATAATGAAGCAAGAACAGCACCAACAGAGAAAAATGTAACGTTTTCATAGGCTTTTTGGAGGATTTGTACTCGGTAAAATCCTGCCGAAATTTTATCACAAATGCAACAAATAGCGAACTTTTCATACATAAACTCAAATAAAGAATACCGTTTGTCATTTCCGTGCGCAAGCCACTTTTAGGAGAGCAAAAGTTGACCACCCCCCTGGATAGTAAAATTTACTATTTTCAAAATTTTTTATATTTTCCATAATTTAAGAACTCAAGCAATCCATATATAGCAAAAATTACATTTCATGAACAGAATTGTGGAATTGAGAGCCGAATTTCAAAATTGTCTTACTTTTTTTGATACACTCTGTATTGCGTGATCAGTTTCTTAACTGAACTAACCAACAATATATTATATTGTCTTATAACTATTGATATATTGCGTGATTTCTTAAGAACGAAGCAACAACGTATTATATCATATTGATATAAGGATCTTTCCTTTCCCGTGTTATACACGTGGTCTCTTGAGAACGAAGCAAGAACATATTATATTGATATATTGCGTGTAGGTTTCTTAATTTAAGAAACAAACAACAACATATTATATTGCTATATGATATATTGCGTGAGTTCTTAAGAACGAAGCAACAACATATTATATTTATTTATTCATGTAAGGATGTTCCCGTTCCCGTGTTATGTACGCGTGGTCTCTTGACAAAGAAGCAAAATTACGTTGATATATTGCGTGAGTTCTTAAGAACGAAGCAACAACATATTGTTATATTATTGATATAAGAAATGTCTATTGACTTGCATATTATATTGCTATATAATATATTGCGTTAGTTCTTAAGAACGAAGCAACAACATATTATATTTATTTATTCATATAAGGATCTTCCCGTTCCCGTGTTATGTACGCGTGCATGGTCCCTTGAGAACGAAGCAAAATTATGTTGATATATTGCGTGAGTTCTTAAGAACGAAGCAACAACATATTGTTATATTATTGATATAAGAAATGTCTATTGACTTGCACATTATTTTTCCATTGGATGCAGTTGATCTCTTGAGAAGGAAGCAACAACATATTATATTGATATATTGCGTGTAGGTTTCTTAATTTAAGAAAGAAAGAAAGAACTTAACATATTATATTGCCATATGATATATTGCGTGAGTTCTTAAGAACGAAGCAACAACATATTATATTTATTTATTCATATAAGGATCTTCCCGTTCCCGTGTTATGTACGCGTGGTCTCTTGACAACACTGCATGTAAATTTCAAAGAGTTGAATCAACTCGAGAAGAGTAATTCTGTCACTGTTTTTGGTAAGAAGCAAAATTACGTTGATATATTGCGTGAGTTCTTAAGGACGAAGCAACAACATATTGTTATATTATTGATATAAGAAATGTCTGTTGACTTGCATATTATTTTTCCATTGGATGCAGTTGATCTCTTGAGAAGGAAGCAACAACATATTATATTGATATATTGCGTGTAGATTTCTTAATTTAAGAAAGAAAGAAAGAACAACATATTATATTGCTATATGATATATTGCGTTAGTTCTTAAGGACGAAGCAACAACATATTATATTTATTTATTCATATAAGGATCTTCCCGTTCCCGTGTTATGTACGCGTGGTCTCTTGACAAAGAAGCAAAATTACGTTGATATATTGCGTGAGTTCTTAAGAACGAAGCAACAACATATTGTTATATTATTGATATAAGAAATGTCTATTGACTTGCATATTATATTGCTATATAATATATTGCGTTAGTTCTTAAGAACGAAGCAACAACATATTATATTTATTTATTCATATAAGGATCTTCCCGTTCCCGTGTTATGTACGCGTGCATGGTCCCTTGAGAACGAAGCAAAATTATGTTGATATATTGCGTGAGTTCTTAAGAACGAAGCAACAACATATTGTTATATTATTGATATAAGAAATGTCTATTGACTTGCACATTATTTTTCCATTGGATGCAGTTGATCTCTTGAGAAGGAAGCAACAACATATTATATTGATATATTGCGTGTAGGTTTCTTAATTTAAGAAAGAAAGAAAGAACTTAACATATTATATTGCCATATGATATATTGCGTGAGTTCTTAAGAACGAAGCAACAACATATTATATTTATTTATTCATATAAGGATCTTCCCGTTCCCGTGTTATGTACGCGTGGTCTCTTGACAACACTGCATGTAAATTTCAAAGAGTTGAATCAACTCGAGAAGAGTAATTCTGTCACTGTTTTTGGTGACAGAATAACACTTTTGGAGTTGATCCAACTCCTTAAAATTTACAGTGAAAGAAGCAAAATTACGTTGATATATTGCGTGAGTTCTTAAGGACGAAGCAACAACATATTGTTATATTATTGATATAAGAAATGTCTGTTGACTTGCATATTATTTTTCCATTGGATGCAGTTGATCTCTTGAGAAGGAAGCAACAACATATTATATTGATATATTGCGTGTAGATTTCTTAATTTAAGAAAGAAAGAAAGAACAACATATTATATTGCTATATGATATATTGCGTTAGTTCTTAAGGACGAAGCAACAACATATTATATTTATTTATTCATATAAGGATCTTCCCGTTCCCGTGTTATGCCTACGCGTGCATGGTCCCTTGAGATCTAGAACGAAGTAAAATTATGTTGATATATTGCGTGAGTTCTTAAGAACGAACTGAGCAACAACATATTATATTATTGATATAAGAATCTTCCCTTTTCCGTGCTATGTATGTGGTCTCTTGAGAACGAAGGAAAATTATATTGATATATTGCGCGCGTCTCTTGAGAACAAAGGAACGCTTCTTAAGCGAACGTTCACAACATATTATATTGATATATTGCGTGATTTCTTAAGAGCGAAGCAGTTAGAACATATTATATCATGATTGATATAAGGATCTTTCCTTTCCGCTTTATATAAATGTGGTCTCTTGAGAACGAAGCAACAACATATAATATTGATACATTGCGTGTATGTTTCTTAATTTAAGAAAGAAGCAACAACATATTATATATTGCTATATGATATATTGCATGCGTGTGTTTTTAAGAACGAAGCAATAACATATTGTTATATTATTGATATAAGAAATGTCTATTGACTTCCATATTATTTTCCCCGATTGGACCAATTGACAGGTAATTTTCCAATGGAAAGGCTATTTTGTCCATTGGATCCAATGGACAGATAAAATTCCATTGGACAATAATTGGTACATTGGATCCATTGGACCATTGGAACATCTCTCTGGTTTCATAATCATGTTCACATGGGGTCTTGCAACCTGTTAATTACGTAATGGTAAAAACGCGGAAGCTCTTATCCGGTTGATGCATTGTTCCGATCGGCAACCTTCACATGGTCTGTTATTCGGGTGATGCATAGTTCCGATAGTTGATCCATTGCTGGCCAATGGACATTCCATTTGTCCATTGGATCCAATGGGCACGCAAAAGTCCAATGGAAAATTGGAGGTCCATTTGATCCATTTGACAAATGGAATGTCCAATGGTCTTTTGATTATTCCATCGGACATCTTGCATAGGTATTGGACATGTATGCAAGATAAAAAATTAGCGCGACCCCTCTCTTGACGTAACATGCATATCCTCAATAATCCAAGATGGCGAACAGCTCACTTTTTTCAGTCGAAATATTTTGAAAACTAAACAAGATATAAACAATCTGTAATAGAGTTTAATATATAGTTTTAAGAGTTCTTTCAAATGAACTAAACTAATTTTTTTATTGCCAATGTCCTTTAAGAAAATATTTTACAGTTTAGTACTTTGCTAATATTTACCCCCCGCATATATTCCTTCTAACAGACAGAGTGGGATAGAGGGGATTTCAACGCATTTTTGATATATATATTCTTATATACTTAAGTTGGTGTAATGCTTGTGGGACGTAGATATTGTGCTTATACGCATGCGCAGTGAGAATTGTGTATTACGAAAATTCCTGACTTATAGGAGTTTGCAAAGTTTCCGGCGGAAATCTGCAGAGAATATCCCAGTTTATTCAAAATTCCCAAAATCATAAATGACAATAGACAAAGAGTATAAAAGGTGTATTTGATTTCATCGTATTACAAGATTTTATTAGATAATCTTAGAGTGTCCACTACTTTATCACCATCTTTGGTTTCCCCTGGGGATATATTCACCATGTTTAGGACTATTAAGCAAGGAATAAGAAAAGTCCAGACATACATATAAAAAAGTTTAAACAGAACTAAGCGGTTGCGAAGCCCAAGTTAAAATCGTTGTCAACGCCATTGTTATGGTCGATATTTGCAAATTACAGGGTATTTAAAAAGTGATTAAACCGTCCACCTCATGTGGATA